GTAGGCATGAAGTGGAGTGTAGTTGAGAATGCTTCATGCTTTGGTGCTGGAGGTGTAGGCAGTGAGGACAAGCTGATAGAAGACATGACCTATTGTTGGTAGGAAATGTGCCACCAAGTTACATGAACAAAATACATACTCAGTTGATGCACTTGAGGAGCAATGTGGACCCACTTTGGGTTCCACCTCTTGATGAGGGAGGGCTTCTTGTAGGCCATGAGCTTGGGAATCTTGGCGATGTCCTGGACCAGGAGTGACTCTGGATTGAAGGTATAGGACTTGTTTGCTTGACTGATGAAGATGGTGTAGAGGCCTGTATGAGTATTGTGTATGTGTATGTGATGAGTTGTCAGCATATTTCTAAAAAGGAGTAAGCTGTGGAAGGGGTAATGAAGAGCAATAAGTCATTGTGTATGTGTATGTGATGGAATGTACCATTGTGTTGGTCCCCACTGGCACTCTTGGAGTGGATGTTGGGGATGCTCCCTGAGATGAGATGCAGAAGCTGCCAGGGGCAGATTCGGTTGGGGTTTTTTATTGAAATTTTTGTGAAATTTCAGTGAAAATGGTGTGGAATGATCTCATTTGCAAGGTCATCTTATACCATTTGACTTGGAAATGTTTCATTACCGAGATAATTTCAAAATACCATTTTTCATGTCCTTGAAATGTTATCCTCTCAGCCTTTGGATATGATCATCTTTTAGCTCTCCTCAAGAGCTTTGCAATGATACTTGATTCAAGTAGGATTGCTCTAGTCATTGTGTCAACAGATGCTTGGCAAGACATGATCATCAAACTTAGGAAATATTACAAAAAAAAGTTGTCTATTCTCAACGTTCTAGGCATTATTGGAATCGTCTCCATGAGACGATTCCAACAAGCCCATTTTCAGTCCTGGTGCATAATAATTTCTTAATGTAATTGTGTCTAATTGAAAGAGTGGCACATGTTGCATAAGGCTCAGATCTGGAGGTACAAGGATGGGTGTGTGTGTGTGTGTGTGTGTGTGTGTATGTTATACACCCTGAAACTTGTCAAGTCTTCAAACTTGTTGTGGGTAGGGCTTGTGCATGGTGTTTCTGTTTCTTGTCAGAAGAAAAAAGGAGTTTTTAGTGGTGATTTTCTGACTTGGGAGTTTTGGTTGTTTTTTTTTTTTGGATTATTTTATTTTTTGAGGAAGAAGAACTCATAGAGAGAGAGAGAGATGGAAGACCCCAAGAAGAACAAGCTCTACAACAAGAACAAGAGGCGTTCTACTCCTACAAGGGTATGCGCCATTAATTTACACCTCATTTGTTGATCAATCTGATGTCAAGATCATCAAGATCACTTGAATTTGATCAAATCGCAAAAAAAAAAAGTTGTCTATTCTTGATGTTCTAGGTATCATTAGAATCGTCTCAATGAGGCGATTCTAACGAGCCCATTTTCAACTCTAGTGCATCATGATCCTTAATGATTCGTGGCCCTCAATCATCTCTCTTTCTGGCCCCCCTCCTTGGTGCAGAAGTGCAAGGCCATCCCCCCCAGCAAGGAGCTCATAGAGGAGGAGGAGGAGGAGGAGGAGGAAGAGGAGGAACAGGAGGAAGAGGAGCTTTCTGAGGAAGAGGAGGAGGAGGACAACCAGGTATGCCATCTCTTCCTCGCCAAATATTCCATTTTTTATTCAATTTTTTATTCAATTTTTATTCATTTTTTTTGCCATTTTCGATATGCAAATCCAACCCAAACGATGTTATATATCTTCTTGTTCCCCACATTGAGCTGCACACGTCGAGGGTATTGCGACGTCCGTACGATGATTTTCAACTGAGATAGATCATCATCTTTATATAACTATCATCTTTTGAGTTAGAGATTAACTTGGTGTGTGTGTGTGTGTGTGTGTGTTTGTGTTTATCTTCCCCAGCTTGCAATGACAACCTTTGAGGCACGCTCTGCTGCTGCTGCTGCTGCTACTAGAGCCAAAGTAGTCCTCATGTCCAAGATTAAGGAGTGGAGAAAGGCTGGAGTGCTCTATGGTACCACCCAACTAACTCCCAATCACATCTATCATCTCTCTTTAACTCTTTTTCTCTCTCTCTCTCTCTCACACACACACCTAGCTCCTGACAGCCTGAAGGAGGGCTGCAATAAGCCACGCTTCAAGGGCCTCAAGGCTGATATACTCCTCAAGATCCCCTATGTCTCTGCATGGCTGGACAAGAAGACCAGGGAGGACTTTGCCAATGCTGATCCTGCAGTATGTTCTCTCTCTCTCTCTCTCTCTCTCACACACACACACACAAACACACCAACTCACTTCTCTCTCTCTCTCTCTCTCTGATCAGGTTCAGAAGCAGGTTGAAGCTGAAGCCAATGACCCTGATACTCCCAAGCTGGTCAACACCAGAGACTTTAACAAGGGGAGGTCTGACATGCAATGTGCTCTGGCCAACTACTATGGCTTCTGGCTCAAGTTTAGGGGTAAGACTCATGCTTCTTCTCCTCTCTTTGATTAGGGGGTGGTACAAGGATGAGAGAGTGTGTGTGTTTGGGTTTGGAGTATCTGATGGGTGTGTGTGTGTGTGTGTGTGTGTGTGTTTGTGTACTAGGCTATACTCCCAAGCTGAAGCTCATCTGGACTGAATCTCTGGTGAATGAGTACATCCTGTGGTTGGAGACCTACTATCAACCTGGCTCCACCACCAGGAACAAGTGCTGGAACCTCAAGGGCTTCTTGGGCTTCCTCAGACTCAGGAAGAGGAACACCACTCCTGAGCAGCTCACCAAGATCATCATCTGCAAGAAGATCTTCAGCCAGGCTGGCAACAGGAGCAAGCAGGTTGCCAGGACGGATCGAGTGCTGCTGGAGGAAGAGCACTACATGACCAATGTCAGCAGTATGTCCCCCCCTCTCTCTCTCTATTTCCTCACGTATTTTTTGTTTTTTTTTTTTTTTGAAACCAACCCCATACAAACTATATATCATCTTGTTCGTCTCATCGAGCTGCACACGTCGAGTGTTTCGTGATGTATGTGTGATGAGTTATGAGCGCGCTCGACCTCAAACAAGATAGATTGGCATTTGGAATTTTAAGTCCTTTTTGATTGCGTTTTTGTTATTCACAACCAACCACACACAAATTATATATCATCTTGTTTGTCTCATCGAGCTCTACAGATTTGCCTTTTGGATTTTCTTTCTGACTATTTTCAAGCCCGCTAGCCTTTTAACCAATTTGTTTTTACTATATTCGTTTCATCTTTTTTTATTTTTTTTCTGATGATTGGTACCAAACACATATAAACTATATATCATCTTGTTCGTCTCATCGAGCTGCACACGTCGAGTGTTTTGGCACAGCTGTACGATGATTTTCAAGCGCGCTATCTATTTTCTAAGTGGTATCATTCTGCCAACTAACCACACTTGGTCTCTTTTGCCATACAGACAAGTTCATGACCAAGGAGGAGGGTGCAGCATTCTTCCACTGGTGCCTCACCCAGTGGGAGGAGTACTACCTGCTCTTCCTGCCTGCTGGTGAGGAGGAAGATGATGATGAGGCTGAGGCTGAGGACGACGAGTCACACTTGGAGAACCTCCGCACGCACGCGCTCCAGCTCCAGCGGGTGATGATGGGCATGATGCTGTACCTCGGTGGCGGCCTCCGGAAGCAAGTCTTTGCCGATCTCTACTCCCACAGCCTCAAGTGGGACGATGATGAGCTGGTCATGCGTGTCGGCCGGGAGAAGGTTGCCCGTGTCAACGGTTCGGTCCTTCCGCTTCCACCACAGCTCTTCATCTACATCGAGTTTTACAAGCAGCGGATCCGCCCCCACCTCTTCACCGATCCCCAGCATCCTCCTATCTCGCTGTGGCTGTGTGCCAGGGGCCACCCTCTACACTCCAACAACTTCACCGACCATGTCAAGGAGCTCTTCTTCCACTTCAACCCTGACCTGGACACCACTCCAATTGACTTCAGGAGAATGACCATCACTGATCTCTTTGCTGGTATGTTGTGTGTGTGTGTGTGTGTGTGTGTTACATGTTATGACCATGTTTGTGTGTGTGTGTGTGTGTGTATGTGCACAGAGAGACTGGTCATGGAGGAGGGAGAGACAATGGAGCACTTCCACAACAGGTTCAGTGAGTTGCTCAATGTGTCTGTTCCTGTCATGAAGGCTCACTACAACAGGCATGCCACACCTCCTCACACTTTACATTTTGATACTTGTGTACTGATGTGTGTTTGTGTGTTGTGTTTATAGGCACAGGGCCAGAGAGCGCAACAAGCAGACTCTCTTAGGGTTTAGGGTTAGGGTTAGGGTCTCAGAAATCTGGTTAAACCAAGGTCGCATCACAGTGATTTGCCGGTCATTTGCTTTTTGGTCGCACGACGGGTCGCACAAACGGTCGCAGCCGCAATTTGACGTTGTCGCGACTGCAATTTGAACTGAATAAAGTTATATTAACACTCTTTATTTATTTGATTTGTTGCCCACGAGAAGAAGAGAGACGATTGAGGATGCGTCGCAGTCCAGAAGGCAGAATAGTAAAGCGCAAGCGGAGGGCTGCGGACAACGACAGCGAAGGTGAAGCAGAGGAGGCCGAACAGCACCTGTGCGCCCAGTGCAAGTCAGCGTTCCCATCAATCAAGAGGCTCAACGAGCACAACAAGAGGGCGCATGCACCGGT